GAAACTCAAAAGTTTTTGGTTAGTCCTTGCTAACAAATTTCCAAAAGGGGACCACAAAATATAGTAATTACAAGAATATGAAACACAAAACCTCTTTCGCATGTTTGTTCAAATAGAGTTATATTCTACAGAACATACTACTAGGGAAAGCACTGACAAGCAAGAACAGCAAATTAAAACGAAGAAAATCTGTTTCGCAAAGAACAACGTATGGAACAGAAGAAATTTTGTTTAAAAGGCCTATTTTAGTTTGAACAAGAGCAAGAAAATTCACAAATGAAGATCATTCATCCATTTAGAAAACATTTACAGAACATACGTATGTGCAAACTTGTAAACTATGGCAATGGAAGTCAGGACACATGTAAGAAACAGCAAACAAACTTTATTATAGCTAGCTAGAATAGTACACAGTAAAAGACAGAGTAGGTAATATACAGTCTATACTCTATAGCAGTCACTAAATTTTTTTAGTAGGAAGTTAACATGAGAATTATGTATCAAGAAATTAATACATCTGCAGTACTTATAGCAACCTATAGGTTAGAATACATTAAAAATACTTGAAATCAATAAGGAGAAAAGATGTGACATACTGCTGAAGAACCTGTAATAATGAAGGCAAGAAATTATCAATTCAGAAAAGAGGTGAGACATCAGTATATAGTTCTAGTTTAAGTTAACTATATTTTAATTTTATTAGATTCTTGGGTTTTCAAAATTACAACGCATGGTTAATAATCTACTGAAAGGCTTGTCAGTTTAAAAATATATTCTCACAACACATGTGACTGTATCAGCTAACTTGCAGTACTCTTAGATATTTAAGGTACAAACTTTGGTATAAAAAAACAAAATTAATCAAGCTTTGTAGTAGAAAACTCTATTACCTTTCTTATTGGCTTTAACTATCACTTCTATATGCTTCATTGCGGCTTTTAATAACTTCTTGGTTATAATAGATGGAATATCCACCTGGAAAAATTCAACATCAAAATGAAACTTAATATTATCACTTAAGTTAATATGACAAGAACACTACAATATACTAGAACCTATGACCTTTAAAAAAAAAAAGGCATTATTCTGATTTCAGAAATATAATTTAAAAGTATATTCATAGATATGATGTAAAAATAAACTTTTTAATAAAAAAAAGTATATTCATAGATATTACCTATAACTTTAGATTGTTTTATCATAATAATGAAAAGGTACATTGATATGCATACCCCATACACAAAATTTTTCTCATAAAAGATATTCATTTTTGACATTTTTTAATGTAGTCTTTGTTTTAAATACATTCAAGGAAAAATTTCCAGTAATTTATTTTATCCCCTTGAGGTTGCAACTTTGTGTTTACTAAGGTTATTTAAAAATGAATTTTTTCATTTATCTTACAAGATGAATCCTATTTTAAGATATATGGAAGGAAGCATTGTTTTTAAATAGTATTAAGTTCATCATTCCACACAGACATTTTTCAGCTTAAAAACAGGAAACTATAGTGATTGTGGTCAGTTGGTGAGGCAAAGTTGAGGATTTATATGTACACATATAGAAGAGACAAAAAAAAAACTGAAAGTAGTGCACATAAATTAAGTCACCAAAAATGTGTTTACTGGACTTCAACAGGCTTATCTCGTAGCACAAGTCTCAATACACTGTTATCTTCCCTTTACCAAGGTCTGAGAAAAATCCATCATAAAAGTTACTATATTATGTGAAGTTTTTCGATTCTTTTTAATTCCAAATTAAGAGAAAAAAAATCACAGGGTAATAAACATGGTGGGTCATAAAGCCAATATTCTGATGTTTGTTTGGGTCCTCCCTGGTGGGGCAACAACAGGTTAAAGCCCAACACTATGAGGCTGTTTGCAGCTTCTGCAGCAGGAGTTCACTCCCTGGCCAGGGAGGTGACCCATATAGTGCATCAGATCTCTCCTGTCCTACCTGCTGCTCCCCTCAGCAGTATATTTCTGTCCATCTGCCTGTTCTGCTCCCCAATCTGTCCCTGGTAAATCCTCTCAACCTCCACAATCTCTGGCCTGTACCCCAGTTGTTGTGTGTATAAATATTTTTTAAAAAGAGGTTTATTAGTAAAACCAAAAACAGCTTGCTGGCATCTTCTGCTGTA